TTAACATTGCATTGTTGCACCATATCTTTAGTAACTGATTTAAAGCTTGAATACACTACTTTTGTCCTGATTTACAGTCTGGACAAATCGATGCTAGTTGCCGAAAGTCAGAGCCAGTCTGCAAATTTGAGGTGACTGATTTCACATAAAATTGTGTAGTTTATGACGACCACAAACTCCCAATGGTGCCCAGTTTTTCCTCTGTAACCAAAGTCTGCAAGTGTGTGATGCCTAGTGTTAAAAGACTTGTATTCTAGCCATTAGATGTTAACTTGGAGGTAACTATTTTGGAATGCTTTAGAATGGTTAGCATGTTGCTAAGCTAACACCTCAGTACTCTAATAAGCACAAAAATATACAGTACATATATTTAACTAGTTAGGCTATTAATAGTTTTCATTATTGAATGACATGTGGTTATTTATAAATTATCAAAATATTTGTGTCAACTTGTCCACCATCTTGGATTAACTTTTTTCACCGAACTCATTGCAATGCACTCTGCTTTTTAGGGAAAAACATTTAATGCCTTAAAATGCTGTCTTGGTAGGCAGCTCACAAGGTATTGGAACAGATGTTGGTAGCGTGCATTGTTCAGTTAAGTCTGAGTAAATTAAAGTAGGAGAGACAGACAAACATTTATTCAGCACTGGAACTAGCAAGGCCTTTCTTAAAAATAATGGTACAGCAATGGTGCCGGTGCTGCATTTTCAATTTCCATGGAAAAGTCCTCAATGCTTGACTGCACATACACATTCATGCCAAATATATTATTGGTCATGCACGTCAAAACCTGTGCCAAGCAAAAATCCATTTTATTTTTCCTGCTGATGTGTCTTGTATTAATACTCCCAAACCACTAACAGGTCGGGTTTAAGCCACCAACCATGCACTGCTTCCATGGTTACACTGTCCTAATGGATACCTTTACCAAATGTGACCCTTTAGCGGTCAAAGGTTAAAGAAAAACACAGGATGCCAACATTCTTGCCTATAACAGGATTCACTCTGTGCCAAGTTGACTTTATATGTCTTTTTTTTGGGGGGGGGTTGTTGACTTGAAGACCAAACAACCTGATGGATAATCAATCCAAGCATATTATCCATTTGATTTAATGTTGTCAGACCAAACATTGCCTCACACTATGGATTTTGGATGCCAGGGTGTTGCATGTTCAAAGTCAGATTTATACACTGTTGCGTTTGTCATTTACTACAATATCAAACAAGTCATATTTCGGTACTTGCGCTAGTTTACTGGCTTAAAGCAGTGAAATGTCCACAGTGGTGTCTCTGTGGACGTGCCTGTATGTTTCAATGTCTTTGTGAGTTTAAAAGTATACCAGATTCAGTCGTGTATGTGCATGTCTGCTTATAGTTTTTGAAATCCTCTCAGAGTTCTATGTAATGTGTTTTCTTTGCACTGTATCCACAAGTCTGTGTGTGTTCATGTGTGTCTGCCGTTCACTGTACATGTCTCTAAATGATGATTGGTACTGTAAATTGATTGTATAAAAACAATTTTAAAATGTTAAATTGAAGTTTTATTTAAAAAAAAAATGTAATTACAAAAAAAAAACTTTTTTAGGCAGCTGGATTAATGATTGTATCCTGGCCTTCAAATTTATTCAGCAGTGTTATTTCTTATTTTTACTTATTTAATATTCATGAATATATTCAAATATAAACACACATCTACTAATGTGACCCAGGCAGTTGAAATCCCAAAGTATATTAACAGATTTGAGCTTCAAAATTTCTTTTTTTTTTCAACATCAAAATTTCGTTTTGAAATAATGTAATTATATATGTGGAAAATTATATTTTTACACAGATTTCACCCATTCTTTTTCAGTATATTTATTACCCACTATTTTGTAGTTCATTCAAGTAGGCTAGTCTTGCAGTGTGACCAGAGAATTTGAAAGTTCAAATATTCCATGCAGTTCCTCAGTTAATATGACGTCATAATGCATGTGTAATAATTACAGAAGAATTAGAAAACACTTCTGTCACTCCTTGATACGTCATTACTCCTTTTGATTTTCCGCCACTGTGTATACAAAGCTCCTCATAAACAATTCAGACTGACAAATGTCCTAAAATGTCCTGCAAATATTAGCGCCTGACTGAGTGGCATTATACCAAACTGACATACTGACGAGCAAGGAGTCACTTTGTAAACTATTTGGAGTGTTGAAAGCATAACAAATACATAAGATAAGTGTGTAAACTGAGGCATTCTTATGCAACTTTCAAATGAAAAATTGCCACTCGTGTGCTGTATAACAAGCAAATGCAGTGTTCAGTAAACACAGGTGGTTTGTAATCGCGCGTTCACAGATCAGGATTGTCACAGACGCCTCCTGCTGGCAGTTAGGACACATTGCTGGTACACTGTTTACTGCAAATATGCGGGACATACTTTGAGCTGACTATTATTATTAATAATAGTCTGCAACTGCATACTGTTAAAAAACTATTTTATATATATAAATACACCCACACAAACAAACAAACATATATGTTTATATATATATATATATATATATATAAAATAGTTTTTAAGCAGTATGCAGTTGCTTCTAGTTAATTCGACGCACTGGAATTAGAAGATCAAGTGTTTCTTTTGTATACTACACATTTTACAAATATGACGTGACGTGTGTGTGTGTGTGTGT